AGTAGTACGGGCCCATACTACCTTCCACATCTATCCGTACTTTCCTCAAGAATTGCCTTGACTCCACCAAGTCCCTTCTACTACTACTGCTCTTAGCGCTAATCTCATCCTAGGCTTGCCCTAGGGTAATCTCTGACCCACTCTCCGCCATCAGCTGCATACGAAGTCCCTGCTATCTCTCCCTAACTAGCTTGCGAATACCATTACATATCACTAAGACTAGATAATTCTTCGAATAAGAGGTCCTACCCTACAACGGTTGGACTCAGACAAGAGCTGTGAAATAGAGCTAGACCTAACCTTCTGAAATTATTTAGTCCTCGTAATATGTAACTTAACGTATTCGTTTACTAGTTACTTAAAGATAACTAGAACTCCTAAAAGCACAAAGCAAGCAACATTCAAGCATTGAGTAAACCAAACCAAGCATATTCTAATTGGCTGCCATATTACTTAGTAATCAGTACTAGCAAACAGTTTAATAAGCTTATACAACAGGCATACAAGGCATCCTTCCTAGATCCTCAGTCCTAATCTAGCATGCAGTTCTCATACACATATAACAGGCATACAAGGCATCATTCCTAGATCCTTAGACCTAATCTAGCATGCAGTTCTCATAATCATATCATAACATAACAAACTTGTATAGGTAATTTGGGAGAACTTACTTGAGCTCGGCTGATTGAATGCACCACACCCTTTTCTCTTTTCAAAATCCTTTTTGTAAAAATGGTTTTTCTTTTAAAATTTTTATACCAAGTCCTTAGTTTGAGTTCAGACACACCTGAGAGTGTGCCCGAATCCCTTAAACCAAGGCTCTGATACCAACTTGAAATATCCCAAAAATACGGTCAAAAAACTTCGTTTTTAATTATTAGAAAAACCATAGTTATCAAATCATCACATAAAATCATAAGTCATTGTATATCAAAACATCATAAACATCTGTCAAATATATCAGAGTAAAAACATGCCAGACTAAAATCATGGTGTGTGCGCTGCAGTCATCCCGAGCTCTTCCCCTTGCTACCGGAAGTACCTGAAACCAAAACAGAAAACTGTAAGCATGAAGCTTAGTGAGTCTTCCCAAACTACGACATACCATACATAATCACATAATCACATAATCACATAATAACATATCATGGGTCTTGCCCGCTACATCGGGCCCCGCTCGGCATCGGACAAGTACGACATCGGGCCCCGCCCGACATCAGATCGAGATCGGACATCAGGCCCCGCCCGACAGCAAGCAAAGCTCGGTATACATATAAGCATATCAAGAATTACACATAACTAATCACATAACATAAACATATAAACATTCCTTAGGCCCCGTCCGACATCGGATCGAAATCCGGAAGCATACAAACATTCCTCGGGCATTGCCCGACATCAAACCGAAGTTCGGAAACATACAAAACAGTCACATGCAAGCATCATGACGACATCAAGCATAAAAACATTCCTCGGGCATTGCCCGGCATCGGAACGGAACCCGAAAACATATAAACCTACATCGGGCACTACCCGGCATCGGACCTTGGTCTGGAACATACCAGCATACATATACGGGCCGACATTGGTGCCTTCGACCCGTTCATACACGAGGAAACTCACCTCCAAAGTCGAATGATAGCTGAAGCGTCTCTGTCTCGGAATCAGCTCTACACACTCCCTGAATCAAAACATCCCCTTAGATTATACTCATACCCCTTTTTGGGTCAACTGTGGTCAAAATCAAATTCAAAGTCAAGGTCAAATTCAACGCTCCGATTTGACCCAACTCGTCGAGTTTACCCTTCAACTCGCCGAGTTCCCATAATCCATGGAATCGTGGAATCGCGATCCAACTCGTCGAGTTCCTCAGTCTGTTAACCCTTTCTTAACTTATTAAGCCATTGTCCTTTAGATCTGAACCCTACACTTCATATCTCGACTGAAAAAGCCTCTAGAACGGTAAAGTTTCCAACTTTTCCCCTTGATACCTATCCTAAATGGATTAAGCTCAAACCCTAGCCTAAAAAGGTTAAGGTCTTAATCCAAACACCATCAAAACTAAGAGATAGGCCCTGAGATCATAGATATGGACTCTAGGGACTAAATAATCACATAAAGCCTTGATATTATCCTCATGCATGGCCCTCAAAGCTTCAAAAGACTAAAATGATGGTCTAGAGGTTGCATGAGACTTCCATGGCATAAAGTTGGCACCTTTATGCCATAAAAACCCCTTAAGGCCTTAGATCTGAAGTATTCCCCACTTGGGACGTCCAAAATCCCAAGAATCATGTCATTTGGACCAAAACTAGCAAAATAACCTCACAAAGGAGATCTAAGCAACTACAAGGAAAGGTTTAAGCTTTATACCAGCAAAATGTCATGGATGAGGCAAGGATTCTGGATCTATATTCTCCTTTTGTATCCTTAAGCTCTTACTTCTTCCACTAGCTTCAAATACACACCAAAACTCTCAAAAATAGCTCACAAACACTCAAATGGCTTTAGGGTTATCGAGATTTAGGGTTTGGGACTTGGAGGCTGGAAATGAGGCCAACATGAAAGATTTAAGACGTTTAAATAGGGTGCAAACCCCGGAAATTAGGGTTTCTCCTCTACCATCCTACTCGTCGAGTTGAGGCCTCTCAACTCGTCGAATAGGGTACTTAAATCACGCGGCCCATCTGATCTCTACTCGACGAGTTTGGGGCTTCCAACTCGTCGAATTGCCCTTATAAGTTGTATAACTATTAAATTAAATATGTACCAGGAACCAGACGTTACAATTATGTTGTGCAAAGTACTAGATAATCTTAAACATGTTTGGATATCAAATAATGTTTAAAAATACAACTTTAAGAATGTCATAATCATCATCACAACATATCTTACAAGCATAATAATTTACAAGCCATGATACAAAACAAGTCTCTTATTCATTCAACACACTCTTATTACTTTCCAACAGTCATAGTACCACTACATGTGATACATAAAGTTTGGAGTAAATTAAGTGAATGGTCCCTGTGGTTTGAGGTAATCTATGTGCTTGATCCCTAATTTTTTTTCTTAACTCAGACAGTCCCTAAAATGTAATTTTGTTGAACGTTTGATCCCTTCCAGACCTAAAAATATTTTCCATTTTTATTTCTTTTTAATTTGTTAATTAATTATTTATTAAAAAATATTATTACAAACAATCGGGTCCCACCCCTTACCTTCACCCTTCCTATTGTCTTTTAATCATCATCATTGACCGATTTCTTCCAAAAACAGTTGGATACCACCACTACACACTCCTTCATCCCTCCCCCCTTCCTGCACCTTCGTCGGAATGCTCCCCCTTTTTTACCTTTGCTAGAAAGCTCTCAGCCACCTCCTCACCATTCCATGTCAGACATCAATTTCTCTCGCCGGAAATCCTAACAACATCTTCTCCATCAACACCACTGCCTTCTTCAACCTCGATCGAGATGAAGGCGTGATACCAGATCTTAGGGCTCCATACTGTTGCTCAATCCCTACGTCGGAGGTTGTGTTAGCGAACCACCACTGATGCTTGGACCACCATCGACCTCTAGGCCAACATTAGTGGTGTTATGGTTCCATTACCGCCTCAGATGATGCCCCATGAACCGATCCATTTGGTTCCCTTCCATTTCTTTCCTTACCATTCTTAATATGTATTATGATATAATCAAACCAAATATAGAGCCCTAAAATAACAAGATTAAAGATATGTCTCCTAACTCTCTTGGTGATTTGGGTATATTAGGATCTGAAGTATTTGGTTTATGATTTGTGATTTGTTTTTTCATCGGGTTGGTGATTCAAATTCCAAATTAAATTTTTAGGCATTAGGATGTACCCCCATCATTGATCTTCTTCATCCTCAAAAAAACCTAGACTTAGGTGTGTGTACCCTATCTGGATACTTGTGAGGGCCTTATATGTTGGAAGATACCTAGAGGAAAAGAGCTTAAGCCAAATGGAGACGCCGAGTGGTTTTTCTAGACCACAACTCGGGACATGGTTCATGGACACTAAGGTGTTCGAGGAATGGAGTGATATTGGCATAGTGATGGTGCTGGATCAAATATCACGTTTGAGTGGGAAGTTCTAGTGATGGGAACAATGACAAGTACTACTCTCGAACGGCAACGTGCATACTTGTATGTGCAACGTCGGAGTAGTGAACGCAACGAATCAGGAAAAATGTTACGAGTGAGAGTCGCGCCTCACTTAGTGCATTGGGTCAAGTCGGTTACATTAGTAGTGAATGAGGTTTTTACCTCTTGGGTTAGTGATGGACCCAGTGGGGTAAGGTTGGGCCGGCCACTTAGTAGTGAACGGTTTTTGCCTTCAGGTTAGTGATGGACCTACATGCGGGGTGTCTACCTTACGGGTTAGTGATGGACTCATGTGTGGGGAATCTTCCTTGCGGGTTAGTGATGGACCCAGAGCTAGTAATAATTATTAATTATCTAATACTAAAAGATAAATAATAACGGTAGACCCTAATGATTCTCTAGTGAAGAACATGCGATGTATGTGATGTATATGGTGTGTGTGATGTATGTGTGGTATGTGATGCATGAGATGTATGTGATGATATGCTATGTGTGTTTTCCTAACATTGTACCTATGGTTGATCCCCAAACTTATTTTTTTTTGGCTTTATAGGGGCACAATGTGAGTTTTTTTGGTCTAAATGGTCACTGTCGCATGGTGAACCAACTATTACAGGGACTAAAAGAGCAGGTCGTATCTTAGTTAAGGGACCCTTAAAACCCGACAAAAACTTTAGGGATTGAATCGACCAATCCTAGAAACTTTGTAGGGCATTTGTGTCATAGATTGTTTATTAATATTTAATATGAAAATATATTTTTTGAGTATCCATCTTGTAGTTTCATGAGCAAATAAGCTTTGTATTGAATTACAAAGAATGTCCACATAATACACATGGTACGATTCCTTGGCGCTATTTGGCCTGAATAATACATAAATTTAATAAAAAAATAAAAAATATGTAAACATTAACTATGTTTTTCTTTTTGTCTATAAAAATGATGCATACAATCATGATGATGATGTCAAGATCCACATGAACACTGTTGACCATCCAGTAAGTGCAAATGCTGCAGCTAAGTAACTCCACATTGTCAGAACTGAACATTCCTCTTGTCCCACATTGAACAATTGTGTCATTGTACCTTGCATACAAATCATTTATAATCTCAATTCCTTATTCAAATTTAGTCATTTATTTTAATAATATTTTGATCATGTGTCATATAATATACTATAATAAGATAAGAATTGCTTACTGATATTCATGGCCGGTGGCACTGTGTACTGAATCAATAGCACAAAACTGAAAAGCGGGTCATCAGGAAGTAATCCCAGACGAGCAGCTGTTTTGATCACAAGGATTCCAACCATGGGAAGAATCACAAAACGTACACAAATGATTGTGATGATGATAATAGGTCTAATGCTTGCCCTCCTCATACCTTTAATTAAGTTCATTATCAAATCAAATTACTTAAATCTTTAAAAAGTGATTTTTCATCACCACAATACAATTGCTTAAGAAGCTACCAACTTCAATTTCATGGTTGTTTACCTTGTATTAAGTTTCCTCCTAGTATAAGAGTGATACAAGGTATCGTTGCATCGCTGGATTTATAAAAAAAAGTTAAAATGTTAGATAGATAAGCCAAAACAAAAGCTTCTTAAATTACTACTAATTTCAACCGAAATCAAACAAGCATTACCCAAGTAGGGTGACTGAATCTTGGATCACTCGTAATGGAGCATCATCACCAATCACAAGCTTTTTCAGCCATGGGGTTGCCCCGAATATCAGTCCTACAATCTGCGGATAGATATAATTAGATTATTATAAGTTTCAAGTAGACATGTTTCATAAACCGACTTTCTAAAACTTACAGAACCAAGGGTTGGAGGTGCCATGAGTTTTTCCAATAATACATTGAGTATATCCACTAGTTTACCTGAGAAAGATTCGTCTTTCTTCTCATCCTTTTTTACACTCTGCACAAATCCATGGACGCTATGATTAACATTTCATACAACATAATTATCAATATATTGTTAGTTTAACACTAAAGGCTTACGGGTTGTATTTGTGTGTCTTCACTAGTCGCGTATGATAATGGCACAACTACATCAATATATTCTTGGCTTGTTCCATTTAGAAGGGAAGTTTTTTCATTTGCATTCAAGTCTTTGTTGGGTTCTTGTGGTAATTCCTCGACTTCTTTCATGTACTTTGAACCTGACCTTTTTATTAACTGGTAAGTGTATGTCCAAATGTATAAGCTAGCCAACTGCATGCACCATAATCTTGAATTAGATCCCACTAATTAATGATGTCACAATTTTGGTAAAATTTAATGAAAAAAAAAGTCGACTCACCGCCATTGAGAATGATGAATATGAGAGTCCTTTGGATTTACAGATACTATGTTCTCCAAAAGGGCTGCCACCCTCCGTGCATATTGCAGGGACAATTATCAATAACATGTTTCCAAGATTTCCTACCATCGAAGAGAACAATAAAAAATAAAAATCAGGAAAAATGATAATATGAATGCAAAGTGTTCACTTCAATTGGTAGCAAAAATAACAAAGTTAAAGAGAATTTTCTTATCCCCATGTGTTTTATGAAAATATCAATAAAAATATACTAAGTTAGTAAAGAGTTTGGTTTCATGAAGTTATATATAGATAAACAAAATGAGAAATATAAGTTATAAATACCTGTGGAACACATAGCTATGAGCAGGCCCTCTAAATGTGGTTTTGGTTTAATTAGTTTTGCTGCAATCCACCCCAATATTCCTCCACAAAGAAATGTTATTCCAATATTTATTGGCATAAACCACCTACACGATAATTTAAAACGCCATGATATATACATAATCATCATTCTCAACATGAACAATGAAATAAGCTCTTAATTACCATGAGATAATGTCTTCGAGGGTGACTGTTTTTGCAAGACTAGCAAAAATAAGCGAGGGAGTAAACACCACGAAAACAATCTGCACAATTTAAAGCTTCCTTTTTTTAGACTTCGTGGGGTCGAAACTTAAAAAAACAATTTAAGTATCACACACAAAGTAATCTATAAAAGACTCATATATGTTTTATATTATAACAAGTAGTCAAGTACATACCTTATTTAGTGACTTTCGAGTATCGCTAGAGAGAATATTGAAGTAATCGGTAGCCATAATTGCTCCAATTGCACTCAGCAACAACACCTCCAATATTGGCATTGATGCCACCTCAAACAACGATAAAAAACCCATTTCCTGTGTGAATTGTTAACACTTAATTCTGAGCTTCGTTCTTATGTTTGCGTCTACTTTTTATTCACGTTTATATCATACGAGGGTGAAGGGTGTTGCTAATCAATGAAAGATCCTGGCTGATGTTGTTGGACCAAAAGCCAATTTGGATTTGAATTCAAAAGATTTTTAAATGACTTAATAAAAGAGTATCTTGAAATTTTGAGGAAACATTGAATGGAGGACAATATGATAAGGAAACGACAGAATAACATTAGCAAGTTGCTTTTGGATTCCAACCTTTAAAAAGTTAAAACATCAGAAAACAGATAGAAGAGTCTTCTATGCACGCCGCCTATTATGAACTGATTTTACCCTTCTGCCCTCCACGAAGTCGGGGCTTCATATATAAAGCACATGCATAATGAATTTAATAAAGCTGGCTGGGATTTGGGAATTATAGTAACAGAATTTCTTGACGGATTCTGATTAATTTAAGATATAAATACTGATTCTTATCTATTTAATTAAATTAGTAAAGACTAGACCGACTGGAGATAGATAAAGAGAGTCTCTTTTTTGACTTAAATTAGTAAAGACTACAATCACACTAGGGTCATAGTTAGAATTTTAGAATAAGAGAGCCTTACATCGAATAAAATATTAAAGAATATTTAATTTCAAGTAACTGTGAAAAAACGTAGAAATAGACTTTCCCAACATCATCATCTATTAATATCAATTTAGGACAAATAGACATATGTTTTCAGATACTTACAAAGAAAACCTCACTACATAAACTTTAATCTACTCTCACAACGATCACATACAACCTAATCTATAAAGATTAAGAACAACTGAAGAACTAACAAGAATATACAAACCCTAATCCTTCACAACAAATGAGAGAGAGAAAACAACTGATCTGAAAAATATCTACTGGCTAATGAACAGATAACACTGCAGCTCCAACATATATACTCCGGGTAAACGGAGTCTTTAATCCGCGTGTTAACCCGACTACATTATCACCCATTATGCACCGTAGTCATCAACTTCAAAACAATGTCACAACTAACCCAAATTACACAAATAAATATCAGAATCAACCTAATACTTTTCATATAACCCCCTGCAATATTCCTGAAATGACAAGTTTGCAATATCCACAATATTTAACACCCATCCTCAAACTTGACATTTAAGGAAGAACATCAACTTTTATTGAAAGGATTAATCAAACCAATTTCATTTAACAAAAATTTATGTTTAGAAATACTTAAAAACTTTGTTAAAATATTAGCTCTTTGTTTAGAAGAATTTATGTTTTCAACTTTTAAAATACCATTTGCTATCTTTTCTCTAACAAAGTGTAAATCAATTTCAAAATGCTTTGTTTTCTCATGAAAAACAGGATTTAATGTAAGCTTAATAGCAGACTCATTGTCACAAAAGACTTTTACTGGTATCAAATTTTTTATACCCAAATCAAACATTAGTTTAAAATCCAAATAATTTCACAAGTAACAGAACCCAAAGCCCTGTATTCAGACTCTGTTGAAGATCGGGATACAATTGCTTTTTGTTTACTTTTCCAGGAAATTAATGAATTTTCAAAATAAACTAAATATCCAATAACTGACTTCCTAGAATTAAGACATTTTGCCCAGTCAGCATTTACATAACCAATTAAGTCAAAATTTTCTGACTTAACTATAGAAATACCTTTTCCAGGACTTCCCTTCAAATATCTAAGCAATCTAAATGCTATATTTAGATGTAATTTATGAGGTTTATGCATAAACTGACTGAGAATTTGAACACAATATGATATACATGGTCTTGTAATAGTTAGATATATAAGTTTTCCAATTAATTTCTGAAATTCAGCAACATTCTCAAGTAAATGATCATTATCAACACAACTTCTTTTTGGAACAAAATTTGCCTCTAAAGGAGTTGAAAATGCTTACAACTTAACATTCCAAACTCATGTAAAAGTTCAAAACATTATTTCCTTTGATTCAAACACACACCTTCACTTGTACTTAAAACTTCAATTCCTAGAAAATAGCTTAATTTTCCCAGATCTTTTATTAAAAACTTTGAATTTAGAAAAGATTTTACATTTTGAAGCTCAATTTCATTATTTCCTGTTAGAATAATATCATTTACATAGACTAACAGAACAATAATTGAATTATTATCCTTTTTAACAGATAAAGAGTAATCATTTATACTTTGAGAAAAACCACAACTAATTAATTCAGAACACAATTTTTCATTCCATTTTCTAGGAGCCTATTTTAAACCATATAATGACTTAACCAATTTACACACTCTAGTATCACCTTTAGTGTGATACCCTTGAGGTAGGTTCATATACACATCCTCAGTTAAATCTCCATAAAGGAATGCATTAATTATTAATATCTAGTTGATATAAAGGCCAAGATTTGTTTACAGATAAAGAAATAACTATACGAACTGTAACAATCTTTGCTACAGGAGAAAAGGTTTCCTAATAGTCAACCCATTCTCTTTGATTATAGCCTTTGGCTACAAGACGGGCCTTATATCTTTCTACTTATCCATTGGGTTTATACTTGATTATATAAACCCACTTACATCCTATTGGTTTTCTTTTTTTAGGAAGATCTACAATATCCCATCTATGATTACGATATAATGCTTCCATTTCATTATTCATTTCCTCAACCCAATTTGGGTCTAAGAGGCTTCTTCAAAACGTTTTTGGTTCAATTGTTTTATTTAGATTAGAACAGGAACACTTATTTTCAATACTAAGAACTGAGTAATTTAATGTATGTTCAATACCATATCTATGCCTCCCTTCAACAATATAATCATTGAATTTCACATGCATTCGAGACTCTCTTCTATACCTAGATGCCCCTTGGCATAGTCCTATCAGATGAAGGTTCAGATGCCTCGCTAGTATGGTTATTATTATTCAATGTAGTATAAAAAAAAGCTTCATCCAGATTCTAAGCTGCATTAGAACCATCCATCTGATGGTTAACACTCAAATCATTTAGATTAGTCAAATCATTCACATATTCAAAACTATTTTGATCATCATAGGTAAAAGGATCTACTGAATTTTTAAAATCAATTTGATTTTCAATAATTGTTGATTTCAGTTTAAAAGGAAAAACTGATCCATAAAACTTCACATCCCTGGAAACAAAAATAGAATTTGTATCAAGACTTAATAGCTTATAACCCTTTTTCTTAGAAGAATAACCTAACAAAACACATTTTTAGCACGTTTAGAAAACTTATCATGATTATTAAGTTTCGTAGCAAAACATAGGCTACCAAAAACTCTTAAGTGTTCAAAAACAAGCATTTTCTTAAAAACAAGTTCATAAGGAGATTGACCTTTCAGAACAGAGGTTGGCATTCTGTTTATCAAAAAAACTGAAGTTAGAATAGCCTCCCCCTAATACTTTATAGGAAGACCAGACTAAAAAAGTAAAGATCTAGCAACATTAAGAATATGTCTGTGTTTCCTTTCCACCACCCCATTTTGTTGTGGTGTGTAAACACAGGAGGTTTGATGAAAAATACCATTAAGTTCAAAAAAAGATTTCATCTTATGATTTAAAAATTCAGTCCCATTATCAGAAAGAACTGTTTTAATTTTAGAATCAAACTGATTTAACAAAATATTAAAAAATGAAGTAAAACAAATATAAACTTCATCTTTACTTTTCAAAAGATAAACCCATGTAGCCCTTGTGAAATCATCCACAATAGTCAAGAAAAACCTATAGCCTTCTCTAGTAAACACTCTATAAGGACCCCACATATCTAAATGAATCAACTCTCCAAGTTTGGACGAACTATGAACACTAAGAGGGAAGGACTCACGAGTTTTCTTAGCCTTGTCACAAACATCGAAATGAGGAAGAGAAGAATTATCAAAGTTAAGTTTATCTTTTAAAGAATTTTAAAGCTTGTTTAGCAGGATGACCTAACCTACTATGCCATGTAAGTTTAGAAACACAACATTTAACAAAATTACAAGAGCTAATACCTGAGAGAAAAGCATCAAGATAATACAAACCCCCAAACTCTCTACCATTCTCCACAACCTTCTGTGATTGTAAACCCTGAATTTTTACAACAATGCTCATTAAAAACAACTTCACAATTTGTGTCTTTGCACAACTTGTGAATAGAAAGAAGGTTTACATTAAATTCAGGAACCACAAAGACATCAAAAAGTGTTAGTTTTTCAGAAAAACTACAAGTTTCCAATTTTATCAATCTTAGCAGAAGAACCATTTGGATGATTAACAATAAGATTTAGTTTAGAAACATCAACAATATCTTGTAGAAGTGACTCAGATGAAGTCATATGTTGATTAGCACCTGAGTCAACAATCCACTTTTGATGATTAATAGTAGAGTTATAAGACCTAAAAAGAGGAATACCTGCCATATTGGCACTGACAGGAGTATCCTCAGAAGCAGAGGACTTTTCATTAATAAGACTCAAGAGTTTATTATACTGCTCACTTGTGAGACAATAAGTTCCACCACTCCCAGAGACACTCGAAGTAGCACCAGAAGAAGAAGAACTACTAGAAGGAACATAAGAAGAATTAACAGAAAATGATTTATTCTGATTTCTTTGATTACCACTGTTAAATTCATTCCTAGGTTTAAAGTCTTTTGGATAACCAATCAATTTATAACACCTGTCAATAAGGTGCCCCTTAAGACCGCAGTTCTTACATTGTAAGTTTTGATTTCTTCCCTTACTAGAATTAGAACCTTGACCTCTTTTATCATTAAACCTACTGTTAAATGCAGATGATTGAGTTTTAGACACACTAGAGACAGATGACAAAACCCCATTCTTCTGATGAGATTCCTCTCTAGAAACAATTGAGAAAGCAGTTTTAACATTTGGAAGAGGATCCATCAGAAGAATATGACTCTTTACTTGATTAAAAGAATCATCAAGACCACTTAAAAACTACATTAGTTTCATGAGTTTTGAATGATCATTATATTTAGTAGCAGCTTCACAAGTACATTCAGCAAGATTAGTAAGACCATTAAATTCTTTCAAAAGAGTATCAAGTTTATTAAAGTATTCAGACAGAGAAGATCCATCTTGTTTAAGTGAATTAATGCGTTGATGTATACTAAAAATAACAGATCCATCAGCCTTGTTATGGGTTTCAAAA